CTATCGAACCCCCACTCTCCCGTTCTTCGGTCGAACCTACCTCTCCGTCTCGTCGAGTGCAACGACGACGGGCATCGTTCAAGTGTGCGAGCGCGTCCTTCCCTGCCCCGGGCTGGTCGGATGGCGACGGAGTGCCTAAATCTTGCTGGGGTTTTGAATTTGGTGACTGGAAGAAGAAATGAACCACGTTACTGTACTTATCCTGTTTATTCTTCATCTTATTCGATCTTATTCGATCAATTACTGCAACCGTCGCGTAGTCCCTTTCTGGCAATTGTGATGCCGACACTTTTTTCGATCCTCCACCACTGCTAGTTGCTCGTTCCGCGATGCGGCGGTCCTCTGCATCTCTGAGGGCGTTTCCCATCTCGCCCGTGTCGCGAAGCACCGTATGTTTCAGCTGCGACCTTGTTCAATTTTCTGGAGAGATTCCCAGGCATATCGCGGTCTAGCTACGCATTCAGCCCGCGCTGCGGCGGCGGCGGTTCAGACTAAACCGACGCCCCCGACCGAAGTCACATCAGATGACCTACCTGTGGTGAGCGTCGCTGGACGCAAGATTGCTGTGGGCTGGGATAGCCGCACTTGGTCTCGTTTGTGTGCACATTTCCTTTCGCCGTTTTCTGGCCTTGCTGAGGGCGTCGCAGCCACAATCTTTGGCTCCGGGACCACTGTCGCTGCTCAGCCTGCTACCACTCCATCACGAAACAGCGACTGCTCAACACTTTCGAGGCGAGTATCCGTCTTATCTTTCGGATGGATCATTGCATCTGACTGTAATAGATCCCACCGGACATTACCCCCACTCATGCCGAACCAACGCCGGATGGACTGAAGGTGTCATGGCCGTCGTCTGAACCCCACGTATCTCTCTATCCGTGGTCTTGGCTGCAGCAACATTCGTATGACCCACCCCTTCATCAACGAGAGTCTCAATTGGAGTGCGTCCCGAGTCCATTCGGTTTCGCATAATTGATGTTTTCGTAGCAAGATTACATGGGGATCCAAAATTCAATCGTCCAGTCCGACGATCACATACGAAGAGGCAATGGCGGCGGATGACCGCGGCCTGTACAAATGGCTTTCTCATGTCGTCAGTATGAACACTTTACTATCCGACTGTCACCAAACCCTCACAGGACCATTTTGGCATATGCTTCATCTCTGGAGTTCCGCCGACCCCAGAAGCTACCGAAGAGCTTTCGAAGCGTATCGGCTTCATCCGAGAAACTCAGTGTTCGTTTCGAGGCATCTCATTTTCTCTTGACTCATCTTGTGCGCAGATGGTAAATTTTGGGACTTTACGTCGGATCTTGCGAAAGGCGACACCGCGTACACGACATTAGCACTCGATGCCCATACCGACAACACCTACTTTACTGACCCTTGCGGATTGCAACTCTTCCACCTTCTTTCCCACACAGAAGGCACCGGGGGATCTACACTTCTGGTCGACGGCTTCTATGTCGCTTCGATCCTCAAAGAGTTGCACCCCGATGCATACTCGATCCTGGCCCGCACTCCCGTTCCCGCTCATGCCGCCGGGGAGGAGTCGGAAATCTACAAACCTTACCCGCCTTCTGGATACCCTGTCCTCAACCACGATCCAGTCACTGGCGAACTGACACAAGTGCGGTGGAATAACTCTGACCGCAGCACCATGAAAAACATGGACCCGTATCAAGTCGAGGAGTGGTATGATGCCATTCGAATCTGGAACAAGCTGCTTACGAGCGCTGATTCCGAGTACTGGGTTCAGTTGGGACCGGGGACTGCCGTCAGTAAGTGTATACCGACCGTCCCTTTACCCTTTCCCTTATATTTCCCGCAGTCGTCCACAACCACCGAGTCCTGCATGGTCGGTCTGCGTTTACTGGCAAACGGCGCATGTGTGGTGCCTACATTGGCGTCGACGAGTACCGTTCCAAGCTTGCTGTCTTGCGAGAACGATTTTCCTCCGACACGGCGGAAGCTGGCCGAAGTGTCTGGAGCCCGTCTTTATGATTATTCTCATCTGTACCACCGCAACATCATCTTTGTACTGCTACAATTTCAAAATATGTATTCGAGCGAAAGAAAAATCCTATTTGATACAGTGAAGAAAACAAACAAAGACTACGGTTGGGCTGCGCCCTGAATCTCCTTGAGAATATATCCTTCCAGGCCTCCGCATACCCAGAGCTCCTGTACACTAGCGCCTACAGGCTTGACAGAGTACATTTTCTCCGTCCCACCTCCATCCAACGTCAACACGACCTTGCCGTCGACCATCCCCACCGCGACATGCAAGCCCCGATCAACAGTCAACTCGCCGCTCAACCCACCGGCGCCGCGTGCCCCGCCTTGTGCATAGCTCGCCGTCAAATCCGCTACGAGCTCGGGACACACGAGACACACGAGCCCGTTGTTGATCGCGTTGCGCTTGAAGATGTCTCCAAAGGAGCCGGCAATGACGACCGGGATTCCAGCAGATTTGAGCGCAGTGGCAGCTTGCTCACGTGAGGAGCCAGTGCCAAAGTTGTACCCCGACACCAAGATCACACCGTTGTCGCGCCCCGAACGCTGTTGTTTCTGAGACAGTGAGGCGACGAGTGGGGCGAAGCTGGGGTCATAGTTCTCCATGACGACTTCCGCTTGGCGTGCGAGGGTAATATCGTCCTGGTATGTGTATTTGCCCGGGTAGATGGCATCGGTGTTGAGATTGTCTTGAGGAGCGAATAACAGAGGACCGGAGAACGAGTCGGGGAACCCCGGGAGAACGGGCTCGTTGGACTGGGAGGACGGGAGGGGAGATGTAGATGGCTCGTTGGAGATGGAGAATACGGGGGCCTTTGTTGGGGGGAGGGTGGCGGGATCGTGGGAGTCTGGGCTGCAAATGTACCCTTTAATAGCGCTGGCGGCCACGACGGCGGGGCTGCCTAGATACGCCAACGCTTTGGGATGCCCCATCCGACCCTTGTAATTACGGTTCGTCGCGCTGATACCTGTTTGGCCCTCCTCCAGCAGTCCAACGCCAAGTCCGATACACGGACCACATCCGGCAGGAAGGACTTTGGCACCGGCGTTCACCAGTGTGTCCCAGTCACCCAGTCTTTCGGACTCCAATTGCACCGCAGAACTGGCGGCGGCGATGTAAAACTCGACGCCGGGTGCGACTTTGTTGCCGCGCATTACTGCGGCAGCGTCGGCAAGATCAGAGACCCGCGAGTTGGTGCAGCTCACGAGGTAAGCCTTTTGAATCTCTACCCTGGATTGCTCGAGAGTGGGGAGGGGTGTGGATACTTTGACGCTGTTGGGACCGGAAACGTGGGGGACCAGTGAGGAGAGATCGAATATGAGATGCGACGAGTACGATGCATCGGGATCCGATCGCAGATCTGTGGAGCGAAGGGCGTCGAGGCGGTGGCGGTTAATGCGAGGATGCTCGGGCGGCGGAGGAATCAACGAGGCCAGTTCTGGCGACGAGAATGTCCGAAGTTCGAGTTTGGCCAAGACGCGATCATACCACTGGAGTAACGTCTCGTCGACGGGGAACAAGCCGACGAGAGCACCCCATTCGGTCGTCATATTCGCTATTGTGAGCCGTTCATCAACCGTCAAAGCCGCAACTCCGTCGCCGGTAAACTCGATGGCAGCATTGAGGACCTCGTCGTTGTTGAATGAGCTGCACAGGGCGACGATGACGTCCTTTCCCGTTACACCGGGGAGAGTTTGCCTCTTAATTCGACCTTGACCATGCGTGGGACTTGCCACCATGTTTTCCCCGTCGCCCAGAGAGCTGCGGCGTCGGTGCGAACGATAGGCGTGCCGACACATCCGACGCCGCCGTACATGTTGCTGTGACTGTCGCTTGCAACAGTAAGGGTATACGGGAAAGCGTATCCCTCTTCAACCAGAACTTGGTGCCCAATTCCACGCCCCGCAGGATAGAAATCAACGTCGTGAAACCGCGCGAATTCCTCGATGGACGCGTATTTCGAGAGGTTTTTGGCCGACCGGTTTTGTACATCGTGATCGAGCGTGAACACGGGCTGTACAGGATTGTGAATGCGAGTCGCACCAATGGACTTGAATCTATAAAACTTGTCCACAAAAGTAATTGGAGAAGAGCCAAAAGGCGCACTTGGATATGACTGGACCAGTATTGTCGTGGGTCATGACATGCTCAGGGCGTATCATGACATAGTCTCCCGCCGTGACCGTCTTTCCGGGGGGCAGGCCAACGGCATACTTTTGAACGACCTTTTCAATGGTCGTTTGTGGGATTCGAGGCGCGACCGTCGCAAAGCAGCGCATCCGAGCCCATCGACCGAACATGGCCGCAACAAAATTGCAATCAGTGGCGGTGTGACGATCGTGACTTAGCTGGCTCTTCTCGGACAAATTCTGGCACCATCTCTGTTCCTTCATTTCCTGATTCTCTGGAACACAAATCTCTTGGACTTGGAACCTCAACTTTCAATTGCCTCAACCGCAACAAGACTGAGCCTTCAAACAGCTGCAAGAAGTTCTCTGGTGCCAGTGCAAAAGTCAAGGCAAAGTCAACGATGCCCCCGGCTCGTTCAATGATCATTTGGCCAATGCAACACTCCAATCTTCCAGCATAGTCACCTGAATCCAATCAAACTCGCGCCCGCGCAAGAATGGGATGTTGGCCTGATGCAAGATACTTTATCCATATTGGTTTCCTCTCTTCCTGGCTACACCTGAGAGGAATCCCCGTAGGCTTTTGACTTGGCACAACCTCAAAGTGAGTCCCACCAGATGAGTATAAATTCAAATCAAGTTACTGGGTGCCCATTCCCTCTGATCTCAAGACCAGAACCTGCTTCCCCACGTTCTCTGGAGTCTCCCCTGTCTCACTTTTGCTGTGACATGGTCACACAACATCGATTCAACCAAAATGCGATCTCTGAGTGGCTCCAAGTCAACCTGGACCTTCCGCACCATTCTACAACCATTCCCACTATCCTATACATCCTTCCTACCCCCGTTTCAACGCGTTGTTGGTGTAATGGTAACATTGAAGCTTCCCAGTCGCACTTCTTCCCACGGTCACGTGGCACTGGTGGCATGTATCAGCTGATCATGCTTTAGCCTCGGGTTCGATTCCCGGACAACGCATATGTTTTGCCTAGTATCCCTTTTCCTCCGACTTGTGACATGCACCATTGAACCTTCCCTGAAAGCTGCTCTTCAAGGCTTCGCAGCGATCTCAATTTCAAGCAAATCCGTCAAGATTTGAGTGAGATCCTCAAGAGATCTCCCTCCATCCGATTTTTTGATCTTGTATGTTCCCGTATGACAGACTTGCATTTCTCCCTCCCCAGCTCGGTGACCCCGAGGACCGCGGAATCAGGTTTAACCTACCCAATTTTACAGCTCAATCTCACTGTGCGTTGTGCAGAGAGCCGCAGCCTTTGAGAAAACAGCTTCTGTGTCAAATTTGCTTGGGCTTGCCGCTTCATACTTCAAGTTATAACACCAGGCCTGGCTTTACCTTAACGCATTCAGTTTGTCGATGTGGATTCCCTCCAGTATCTTGTATGGCATGCCCGGAAGAGAATAATAGAAGCATCTGGCACCAGGCGCGTTCACTACGTAAATTGACGCGTCCGACTTGATCAAAAGGAAGCGAATTCCACCTTCTACCTCCACCACCATGTCTACAAGCGCTCGAAGAGGACGCGGTCGAGAGAAAAAACCGACCGCGGCCCAAAGGCGCATGCTCGAAAGCGCCAACAACCCAGGTCTGCAAGCCTACGCCGATGAATACTTGAGAGGTGGGAACCCCGGCAACGTCGACGAGTAGTGAGTGCTACATCCTCTACAAAAGTGTTCCAAACCCATCCTATCCTCAGCTTGAGGAACTATGAAAGCAAGGAAAGCAAGAAAAGGGCGGCTTCCGAAGAGGCTCCCGAGGCAAGGCTCCCCAAAAAACAAGTGGTGCGTTCCTAGCTACCTTCTACTCTTCTGCTGATATATCGCAGGCATCGTCTTCTGAGCCGATAGAAGCCTCCGCTGCCGCGAAAGAAGAAGAGGTCAAAAAAACGGTCAGTTCGATCCCCGGAGCTGGCATTGAGAACGCTGACAACAAGATAGGCGAACTCCGAGGCGACCACAAATGTATGCATAAGTCGTCTTGAGCCTGTAGGGACTGCTAATGCTCCCAATAGCTGGAGACCTCGAATGAAAAAGAGAGCGATGCTTCTCTGCCCCCGACCTGAATGGACTTTGCTGGCTTTTTTCTTGATGCATTTCTTTTTTGCTGCATACACATTTCTTGTAGCTCCATATGCTAAATCCTGTAGCCCGCATTATAACTCTCAACTGATTTTTTGGTGAAATAAGACTGGGATATACATGTACATATACAAGAATAAGGTAGATGCGCTTAAGAATATGTACACATATTAATCCTCAACCAGTAGATCGTTCACTTCATCCTCCTCATCCGAATCGTCCATGATAGAGTCATGTGCAATTTCCGTCGCCCCGTCCAAAAGATCGTCAATGTCGGCGTCTATGATCGCTTCTTCGCGACGGCGAGATCTGATCATGGTTAACAAGATGTTGGATATTCCAAGGGAAAAGGCCTACTTGACAGGAATTCGTGGACGCCGTTTCTGGGCGGCGGGCGTAGCCTCCTGCTCATCTTCATCTTCGTCCGAGCTGATCACGATTGGGGTGGGTTGAACCGTCGCAGCGCGTCGAGGCATCGTCCGTGTGGGTGCAGGAGGTGTGCCCCTCGGCGTATGGATATCATCGTCAAAATCAGATTCCTCATCATCCGACGTCGACAGGCGTCGTTTCCTGTTACTGGGTTAGAAACAGACAAAATCAGTACCGCGATCAACTGACTTGTTTTTGGGTTTAGACCGCCTGCGCTTGGAAGACGCGACTGAGGCGCCATCACTCTCCGTCGCTGTACTCATGATACTGTCCGAACGCCTCTTCCGTCCTTTCTTCTTTGGCTCGGTGCTGATCACCTCGTCGTCGTCTTCAGGTATGATCTCGTCCACTTCCTCGAACACTCCTTTGAGCTGCTCGAGTTTCCTGTACTCTTCCTCGTTAAAGTCTTGCAGCTCCGACTCAAACTTCTTGGAGATGGCATCGTCAAACTTTTTGAACGCGTTCTTGGAGGTAGCGTCTCGGAGGGGCCGCCGCTTTTAGTGCCTCAGCAAGAGCGAACGGACAGTATCGAGAATCTCTTACCGAGCTCAAAGTGTGGAGAAGCAGTTTTAAAGTCCGAATTTTGTCAATGTCGACCTTGTCTGGAATGTGAAGCTTCCCCAGCATCTGACAGAGAAATTTCTTGTCTTCTTCTGCAAAAAAGAGTCAGAACCAGCAGCCCGGTCCATATGACACGCACTCGGATACTCTTCCTTCATCATGGTTCTGATGATATCACCAGCCATGTCGAATTGTATGGGGTTCTCCGCATTGACAGTGTCGTCCACGCGGCCATTTTTGTCGCTGCATACATATCAGATAGGCAAGCCCGACCCAACGTGGTTGCTTACCGAAGCTGAAACGGATCGGTCCAGTACCGCCACATCTCAGTGACCTGCGAGAGATCAAGAACATAGTCTTCGTCATCCAGTTCCTGGCGGAGCTTTGAAAGCTTCCGGAAAACAGGGGTGAAGATCTGCGTCGCTGGTTCGGGGGATATTCTGCAAATGGAGAGATCAGACTCACGTTCCGCATGACAAGCTGATTGGCAGCAGACGAGTGTGAAAACGCAGGGGCAAAATACGCCACAGATTGCTTTAGTTCTTGGTTTTCTGCATTGTACGGGGAAAAGTACACCATCAGCAGGCGCTTGACAGCCTAAAGCTCATCAGCACCGGTAAAGAATCCGGAGATCTAGGACGTACCATTTCTTCAGCACTCCAACAGGTCATAACAAGTTTGGCGATTCCTTTGGTGAGAATGGCCAATATTCTGGGGGAAGTATTTGGTTTGTCCGACTCGTTCTCTAGTTGAGTGATCAGGTACGTCCTGATTCGGTCATCCTGTTGGATAACCCAGTCAGCTAAACGCATCCAACGCATAGGGAAACTGCATACACGTTCCGTATTGGCCAAGATCGATTTGTGCGTCATACAGAGGTCAAAGATAATCCGGAAAATGGAGAGTTTGAGGTCCTCCGATTCAGTTTTCTCTGCCTCGGCCATGAAATGGGGTAGCCAACTGGAGGCTTCGGTCTGTCAAACTTCAAGTTAATACAGCACTGCGGCGGATGCAAGTGAAGATTACCTCGGAGATGAGGCAATACAAGCCCCACGTAACCAGTCCCTTCTGAACAAGTTCTTTGTCTTTGGATCTGATAGACGGAATAATGAGATCTGCTTTGATGCCCAGGAGGGTGGAGTTTTTGTCGAGAGTCTACGAAGCGGTCAGTTGGAAAGAAAACCGCTCAAAGAAAACGTACATCATCGACCCGTTTCAACAACTCATTGATCAGGGACAGACAGCGTAGGTCGATAGCATTTGCACGCTGCTGCTCTTCCGGAGACATGAGCTCCCTCGATTTAGGAACCTTCTTGGTCACGGAGCCAAAGCTCGTGTTCGCGTCGTCGTCGTCAGGGATCTGCAGCAGCCGTTGGTTAAATAAGAGAAAATAGATTCGCAAGACTCACTACTATTGACTCTTGGCTCTGGTTTGCGGCGACATCATCCTCTTCGTCATTAGAATCTCTCAGTTCCTGGACAATCCAGACGACGAGACGGATGAGATCACGCTCGTCCTTGTGCGCTCTGCGCAAGATATCCAGACACGCCGCGATCAGGTTCATAGGCAGTTCAGGTCGGCTTAACATTTTACCTGAAAGCAATCAGCCGATTCAAATGGGCAGAGGAAAAGAACTAACGCGTCAGATCAGACATCTTCATGGCCCCCACATAATCACTATAATCGAGCCGCGCGCCAAGTCTCAGCATCTCTCCAACCACTGTTTCCAAGGCTGCCCGCGCATCCTCCAGCTCTTCTTCACTCTTGCCCGCAGTCGTGTCCGGGGCCACAAGGGCGTTGTATCCGAATTGAATTTTGAAGGCGCAGCTGGTGATAACCGGAATACCCGCAGTGTCCATCCACACATCTCCCCGCTTATCTTCGTCACAGTATTCGACGAAAACGCGGGCAAGAAACGCCTTTTCTGGAGTCAAGTCGTTGAAGTAGGTCTCTGTTTCGAAATGAGACCTGAAAGTTGAGGTGTATAGGAGCCACTGACCGCCAAAACGCAGCTCCTCCAGTATGTCAGGCCGAGTGTTAAACACGCTCCGTAGAGCATCCGATGGTATTTTGCCACTCAACAGCTCCCCACGGTTGTCTTTCGACACCACCGTCAAGTCAAACATGTGCAAAAACGCCGTGAGAGTCTTTACGATCTTCTCTGAGCCGTCGGGTCGGTTTGGTTTCTCGGGATTGGATAAGTCCACGCCAGCGAGACGTGAGGCCAGCTCTTCCTCAGCCTTGACGACCGTCTCCGCTATGACGTCCACCCAAGTCTCGAGGAGACTGGCAGCGGCTTCGCGCACAGCGGGCTCACGATCACCCAAGCCGTTGCGTACGACAAGCTCGCGCTGGGCGATCGTGAGCATCCTCGGGTTTCCGGCCGCCGTCGCCGCCTTGGTGAGAACAAGGTTGAACAGGACTTTGCGGACGTTGGTGTCTGTATCCCGACTACGTGCCAGGAGAAGAGGCAAGGTGTTCTGGTCCAATGGGATGTTGCACAATGCCACCCGGCGAACCTCGCTATAAACAGGGGTAAGAGTGGCAATCCAACATTAAGATCCTGCACGCACGCGGAGGGATCCGACGACAAGGTCTCTAGGAGCAAGTCGAGGACCGTTTGTTCCTCCTCGTCGGAGGACAGAATGGATAATGCGATGACGACCGGAGCGCGTACAATAGATTCCCTGTCATGGATTCGATCCACAAGCGCCGTGCGCAATTCATCGTAAATCTCGACACTAAAGGATGTGAGGAGGCGCAACGGGGAGGTGACCAAGGACGCACTCCATCTCGCCAAGGTTACCGAGCATCTCCGAAAACAGAGAGGCAATTCGATATCGGACATTCTTGTCTTTGGCTTGAAACCCTTTGAGCAATAGCCTGATAA